AAAATGCTCTAGAATAAGAATGAATAATTTGATGGAAATAAACACTAGAAGTCTGAATAATAGCACATACAACAAATAAGCATTGTGATTATTCTCAAATTTTAAAATCCTACATTCCACAATTAATATATTTTCTGGGTAAAAACCACGGGGTTAATAAAAAATCTGAAGAATGTCAAATAGTTAAAAATCATGAAGTAATAGCAAAATAAAAGAAATCAAATATGTACAATCAGGAGAAACAGTGGCTGAAGAATAATGATGGAGGCCCTTTTCATAGGATAGTAACATGCTATACTCTCCTTTCACCAAAAAGAATAGAATAAAATCTTTCAAATAACATTTAACTTAGATACCAGGATAAATTTTTCAACATTAAAGGTTATTAAACATTGAAACAATTTTGATGAGAATGGATAATGTGAATTTATAGAATCTGTTTTCTGAGAACTTTAAGGATAAGTTCATGTATAACTGAACTATACTGTGGGCTTGGTTTAAAAAAGCTTAAGAGTGTGGGTTCTGGACTCAGGTTACCTAGATTTGAATTCTATACCAGTAGCTGTTTGACTTTAGATAATATTCAAAGCTTTATTTACCTGATCTATAAATGGGATAATAATAGTAATACCATATCAGGTTGGTGTGAGGCTTAAACAGTGAGGCAAAAGCCCCATTGCCAGTGCCTGACACACAATAAACTCAATAAATGTTAACCATTATTATTATATGATTGGTAAAAATGACTTACATTTTTACCTCAGTTTATGTAATATATTTCTAAAATAATTTGTGTAAATGGAAATACAGATTCTTCCTGGCTGATAGTACAATTTTATCTCCTTTATCTTTATTTGTGATTGTAGACTAACTAGAAAGCCTTCTCACTTACATTCTTAGTTTCTCCACATTTTTATACCACTCCAGAACCATTCACCCACCCAAATAGTTAAAAATGAAATAGATTACAATAATATTTAAATTAAAATAGAAATAACACTATTTTTAAAAATTTAAAAATAATCTTACAATTATGATTATTAAATTGCATTACCCAAAGTGGGATATCATATTATGCAACTCCTTAAGTTTCAATAATTTAACATTTACTGATCATTTGGTAGGCAAGTCACCTTCAAACTCCATGACCCCTGTTCGTTATTATTATTTTATAATTTAACAAGAGTATCCTTATGTAACAACTAATTAAAACCACTAATAAGATGTTGCCAGTTTCTTCATAAAAGGACCTCTTCCCTGGGTGGATTGGTCAGAGTGTGTAAGGGTGTGTGTGTGTGTGTGTGTGTGTGTGTGTGTTTGTGTGTGTGTAACGAACAGTAATAGTCTCAACTGACAAAAAAAGATGTTTATTGCAGCTTTACTTACAATAGTAAAAATCTTAACATATATAATCAACACTAGAAAAATGATTAAACAAATTACCATTTCTAAAATAGTTGTATGTCATGTTATTATTTTAATGTAATGTTAAAGTGAAAGATTTTAGTGTTTTCACAGATACGTTAAAATGAGTTTTAAAAACTGAAAGAAAATATTCAAAATGTTCACAGTATTTGCCTCTGGGGTATGGAATTATAAAAGTTTCTCTGTTTTTATGAATAGCTATTTACACAAAGACTATAAAAAAATTGTAATGTCTACTAACTGTAGGCAAAATTTGTAAAGTATTAATAATAATCAAGGAAAAGACTTTCATATTGATTCTAGTAGAGGATACTAATGAAAACCTTATGGACAGCTACAAGCACCTAAAATAACTTCAGAATTAAAATATTACAATGGAAATTACAATTTCAGAATGAGTAGCAAGTTAAATACCAGCTAAACTCCCCTTTCCTCACCTAAAAGGTAACATCTGTGAAACAAAGAAAAGGAAAATGAAATTCAATCAGGAGAAAGGACAAAAAATAGACTAAACACAAGGAAAAGTAAGCCAATCCTTTAAGGCAGATTTCAGTTTGTTCTTTTTGAGTTTCCTTCCACCTCAATACTATTCATAACCACAACACATTCTCATCACTTACATCTCTCATTATCCATAATGATTCTTGGAGAAGATCCTAGGGTGATGGTATGTGAGGTTTCAAAATGTACCCCAGATCAAGATTTAGGTTATAACAAATTCTCCAAATAAGGGTATATAATTTCTGCCTCGCTAAACTTGGTAAAGGTACTGGCCAGGAAATTTATGGCTTAAGCTAGAGTTCAAGTGGAAGAGTTATGAGAAACTAATTTGTCTCTTTGATATCTTCTTATCTTCTCAGAATAAATATTACTAATATTACATCATAAAGGAGAACCCTCTTTAACTCCAGCCTAGGAATAGGCCCAAGCTATGTTTCTATACTTACCTCTACTTCTATTATTACAACATACATCATTCTTACTTCTACTACTCAATGTCTGCTATCAACTAATTTTAAGCTATAAGAGGTGATGAAATAAAGAAGGTAGAATGATATATAAACAGATAACTGCGGGGAGAGCTTTCAGGCATTAGAAATAAGTGTAACCTTGAAGGCTGAAGAATATGTGGTATGTTCAAGGAACAGAAACATAGATAGTGTGGCTGAGTGGAAAAATAAGAGAAGGCAATTATGAGATCAAAGAGGTAACATAGAGCCATGTCATATAGGGTTCCACAGGTAGTAGTAAGAACTTAGGTTTTTAGTTTTAATGGGCTGGGAAACCAATGGAAGATTTGAAGAGAGGAACAACCTGATTTGACTTACTAAGTTTTTGCATTAATATCCAGGCACCTATATGTTGAGAACACACAGAGGGATTAAGGCCACAACAAAGACACAAAGTGGCAAGTTACTGGAAAATCCAGGTAATACATGATGGTGCCCTGGATAGCATGGTCACAGCAGAAGTGGTAGGAAATAGTAGAATCCTAGAAATGTGTTGAAGATAGAGCAGACAATAGCTTAGTTTTGAACATGTTAAGTGTGAGATGCCCATTAGGCATCCAAGTGAAGAGATATTATATAGGCAATTAGATATACACTTTCCCAGAGTTCAGAGAAGAGATCCATGGTAGAGAAACAAATCTGGGAGTCAACAGCATACAGATGCATGCTGAGCATCCCAAATCTAAAAATCTGAAATGCTCCAAAATCTGACACTTTTTGAGCACCAACGTGATGTGCAAAGGAAATGCTCACTAGAGGATTTTGGATTCCGTATTTTCAGATTGGAGTTGCTCACACAGTAAGTATAATGAAATATTCCAAAATCTGTACAAATATGAAATCCAAAACACTTCAGGTCCCAAGCATTTTGGATAAGGAATGCTTAACCTGTAATGATTTTGAAAGCAAAGGTGATTGGATAAAATCGCTTAGGATGTGAGTTTAAACAGAAAAAAAATATGAGGTCTTAAGACCAAGGCCAGGGACATTTTAATTTTAAGACTTACAAGAAAAGGAGATGAGGAAGGATCAGAAAGAGTAAAGGAACAGCTAGAAATAAGAGAAAGAAAACCACACTATTGTAGTATACTGGAAGCTGAGGAGTGGGGGTGGGGGGACGGGGGTTTTTTAGAGAGAGTCATTAATAGTGACAAATGATGAGGGAAAAAAGAGAAAACAACTAAAATTACTAAAAAGGTATAAGTTTTCAAATCATTTTAGCAATTGAGAATGGTTTAGAAATGAAAACATAGCAGGCAATCCCACCATATAAAACAAAAAGGTAGTACTGCTCTAGCTGAACTGGAGAAGATAGGCTCTACCCTACCTTCCTGCTTAGTATCTCATTCATGTCCTTAGGAAAACACAAAAGGAACACAGAATACAGACCAAATACTCTTCCAAAGCATCATTTTTAAATGTGTTTATTCTCACTTACAAGGGGGAGCTAAATGAAGGATATATATGGTCATAAAAAACAGTAATGGACACTGGAAGCAAGAAGGAGGCAGGGCTGCAGGGGCATGAGGGATAAAAAACTACCGTATGAGTACAATGTACACTATTCTGGTGATGGATACGGGTACGCTGAAAGCCCTGACTTCAGCATGATACAATTCATCCATATAACAAAAAACACTTGTACCCCCTATATTTTTTAAATAAAAGAATTTTTAACATATGTTTAAAAATTATTTAATAAAGTTATTTATTTCATGTTATTGTAAATATTGGATTTTCATGGTGCTTTTTCAGAAGAATAAAAGAAAAAATCCTGAAAATTTAGAGATAATATGAATTGTACTATATAACCTCTCTAAGCCCCACCTGCCTCAACTATTAAATGGGAATAACCTTGCTTTCATAGCATTTATCAATATATAAACTAAATTATATAAATAACTTATCCCACTACAAAGAACATATAAAGAACTCAATAAAGGTGTTTTATAAAAATTACTAGCTATAATTATTGCTGCTGAGTCAGTCAGCATGTCTAAATAGTTGAATAAGCCTTCTTGAGGGGCTCCTTAAAAGAACTGTAAAGTAAAATGACCACTGAAAAGAAACACAAAATAGAGAGAAAGATCCTTGGAAAATATTGATCTTGAGAACTCATCAGCATTCTCCTTTGTGTATGTGCAGATTTGCCAATAAAATAATACACAAATTTTATAATGAAAGGCTGGCTTAGGTCATAAACTAGAACCATACTTCATAAAATAACTTTTCATAATAGATGGCTGAGTAATTCCATTCCCCTAATCCTTTCTGGTTTGGGGGCTATACCCCTAGTATGATTCACGATAGATATCCAAATTCCAATTTATAAAAATATTCTGCAAAGTAAATGTATAATCTATTTTAAATGATTCAGCCCTAATAACCATACAGAAATCTCACAAAATTTTAGGTATTACCAAATTGAACCATCCTTCATTTTTAATTTTGAAGAAACATAAAAGTAATAATAAAATGCTAAAATTTGAAAAAAATTGAATTCTATAAACTTTAATTTAAGTTCATACATATAAATTTATATTTTATGATGGAATAAAAGCATACTTTTTGATATGATGTACTTTCAGCTGTGTGAACATCTTCCTGATTTTTCATTACTTTTTGTGTGTCCATATTGAGAACCTGAAGCTGCTGGATCAGCTCTGCTTGTTGTGCCGTATGTGCACTGTTCTGTTTGTAAAGATTCTGCAGCTCCTGCAATTCCTTCCTGTGCAAAGCAAGCAATAAATAGAGAAAACCATGAATACAGACCATCTCAGTTAAATAATTGTGTTCATCTAAGATTATAGATCTGCTTCCTCTTTTTCATCTATTATTTTTTACTGCATGCAAACTTATTAATAAAAGAAATAATATATAAAGTATTTAATATTTATCATATACACCTAGAAATTATTGATAGAACTACTATGACTTATCAATTTTCTTTTATAGCTTGATTAATAATAAAAACTCTGGATATACAGTCATAGTACCACCTTTTTACAGAAATTAACACTTCAGTTCCGAGAATTAAGTACTGATGCCAACTATGGGTATCAGAAGAAGGTTATGAATATAGGGTAAGTCAACTTTTCATTTTATATTATACAGAACTTTAAATATATTAAAAAGAATCCCAAAAGGCAAATTAAATGTTCAAATCAAAGTTACTTAAAGCACTACTGCCAATTCTAGTTTGTAACTTCAGGTGACTGAGCTGGGATTCCTGTGACTACTCTAATCCAACTTGAAGGAAATGATGAGGCAAGAATTTCAGAAGGAAGGAGAGCAACATAAGAAAAAAAACAAACAGTTCTTCCAACCCACCCAGGGTAAAATTAGTAGGCAGGAGGTCAAATGAATTGGTAATGGTAATGAAGAGTCCAGAAAAAACTGCACCTCTGGGATAGAGGTTTCCAGATTGCTGTGGTAGTGAATCTGTGTGATACAGATCATATAAAACTAAAAATTATTTTGTATATTCAGTTTAAAAAGAAAAATACTTAGAGATCTATGGTTCTGTCCAGAAAGTATCCAGCCATGTAATATGAAAACTAGAGACATTTATTAAGGAAGATACAAGAAACATTATACACAGGACAATGACACCCAAGTCCCCTTCAAATTAGGCACTTTGAGATCTCACACAGTTCTCCCAGCATCTCTTAACCTAACCCATACACGTTCAGCATCTTCAGGTGTTCTGTTTGTTGCAGGCCTTCCAGAACATGAATCACTTTCAACAGATTCTTGACCATTTTGAAGCATTTTTGCCACACTTTTATTTGCACTGCACTCATCCCATGGTCCCCAAAAGCTTCTGAGTCATCCGGATAGTTTATGTGCAGGAATGTTCATGCTTAATACAAAATTTGATGCAGATTCATTGCTCTACTAAGTCATTTTGCATGCAATGGCCACACACTACACATACTCACTCAATTGCATCTAGCGCCCCACTGACTAGTACAGTGAAGTTGTCATTGTTCATGCAAGCACATTACAGTTCACTCTCCTTGGCTGCCAGGTTACAATGATGTCACACAAACCATTCTTGTTATGTTAAAAATGATTGGATACTTTCCAGACAGACCACGTATTTCACTGAAATATACTACATACACTCATCCCTTGGTATCCATGGGAGACTGGCTTCAGGACTCCCCTTGAATATCAAAATCCATGAATTCCCAAGTCCCTTATATAAAATGGTGTAGTATTTGCATATAACCTAAGCACATCCTACCATATACTTTAAATCATTTCTAGATTATTATAATATCTAATACAATATAAATTTTATGCAAATAGTTGTTATGCTGTATTGTTTAGAGACTGGCAAGAAAAACGTATGTACGTGTTCAGTACAGATGAAACCATCCTTTGTTTTTTCTGAATATTTTCAATCTGTAGTTTTGTTGAATCATAAATGCAAAGCCCACTGATAAAGAGGGTTGACTGTAGTTTATACTTTGAAGACTACATTTTTAAAATGGAACTTTTTCTTTACTTACAACTTCAAACTGATAACTCATTCACATAATATAAAAAAAAAGAAGGAACAAAAAAGATATGCAATTGTTGAAGATAGATGAAAATTAATATGAGAGAAAACAGTTCTGCATTTTAGAGGTTTTTAACATTAATGTTCTCCAAACATAACCACAATGCCTGTACCCATACAGATATAGGTACATACCCCATTTTTCTATAATTATTTAAAAAACTGAAACTTGTAGAAAATAACAGTCCAAAAATGGAGAAGCAGAGCAAAGAATGCCTTCAGGAAATGTGACATGTACAAGAGGAGGAGAAAAGAGACCCACAGTAACAATGCATGCTGACTACTGCCATTTTTCATGAATAACAATGGCAAAAAATATCAAGATAAGCAGTAGGGTGGGAAATAATTCCATCAAAGCATATTTAAGTCATATGTTAGCCAGGAGACTTAAGTAAATGCTGCATTTAGAAAGGAGACGTGACAAAGATAAAATGTCATCTTTCAATACAAGGTAAAATATAACAAATTTAAGTTCTTCCAATGTCAAAAGACATTTGCTATTTCTTAATGAGGGCCAGAATCAGTAGCTAGTTTGCATTTAAGGATCACATGCAAAAAAATATGCACCTTTAGTCATAAGAAACACACTCAAAAGTAGGGAGATGCCCACAATATTATGAGGGACTTGTGGATTAAAAATCAGCTAAGGAAAGAGCATATTTTTGTCTCCTATCTCATGCTATTTTATCGGCACACTCTCAATAAGTGGAATGGAAGCACAGTCTTATACTACATAGATATTTTTCTTTCTCTTTTTCTCCTCACATCACCCTCTGAAAAGTAGATGGAATGGTATGCACCCCAAGGTTGCAAATATAAAAAGTAGAACTTATTAGTATCAAAGGAAGTAACAAATAAAGCTTACAAAAGTCACACATCTAGACCACAGGAAAACACTGAATTTGTCTAGACCCTTCTTATTAAACAAGTAAAGAAAAACAGAGTTCTTAAAAAGGGGGGACTTAAAATTAAGAAAAAAATTTCATTGTGCATACTCAGAGGAAAAGTATACCTCTAAGTAGGAGTTACTGAAGATATTGGAAGGAAAGTGGATTAATCCATTCATGAAGGCAGAACCCTCATGACCCAATAGCCTCTTAAAGGCCCCACCTCTAAATACTGCCACATTAGGGATTAAGTCTCAACAAGAGTTTTGGATGGGACAAATACTCAAATCATAGTAGTGATGATATCTAGGGGATTGAGTGGGCCATGCTATAAATTAGGAATATCTCTTTACAGAACAAGTTTGATAGCAAAGACTGACAGACGGTTTCAAACAGCTTCTCTACATTATTCTGCAATTTAAAAAAATGTGACAACTTACAAAAACAAAGATTTATTGCTAGCTTATGACATGTGCTTTCCTTTATTCCAGGACCCAAATTGGAGCATCATACTACATTGGGAATATGCCAATCTACTGGCAAAGGGAGAAAAACAAACGCAAACCAAGCAATGACTCCTTCAAAACATTTACCAGGACATGGCATATGCAACTTTCTCTTGTGTTACTGGCCAAAATAAGTCACATGGCTAAATTTGACACCAATGGGGCAGAAAGCTTGAAACAGGAAAGGCCCTGGTAAAGATGGGCTCATGAGATGAATCAGAGTACAGAATGACTATATCAAAAGTAAAAGTTTAGTGATGAGTAGTGAAATATACAGAACTATGCCTAAACATCTGTGTATTGTGGTTATATAAGAGGAGATAAATTGCTTGAGACACAAATTGAGGGGAAGTTAAGATGGTGAATTTATGTGCTAATTTCCAGAGTATTCATAGCAAGGTGTCAAAGCCAACTGAAGATGAAATGTAGTTTTTAAAATAAACAACATAATAACATGAACCTCCAAGGTTTTTCAGGTCAGTCCATTCTTAGCTTTAGAAGGATAAAAAGTTAATGTTTCTTATTGAGAAGAAAGAATTATTTGAGATTTAATAATTCCCTCAAATTCACATCAGAAACTTATCATTCCACCAAATTCACAAAAACCTAGTTACTAAAAGAACATGGGCAATATAGTTCCTTTTATCTAAAAACTTCTGTCTACTAAATCTTCAATCTATAAATATGGACTGAGAAAAATCTAGAACAATGCTCACAAAACTTTTATACCTGTTACACTTCTGTAGTTGCATTTTAGTGTAATTTTTGTACTGCATGTACAAAATACTTTTTGTACTGCATGTATTTTTCATATAATTCACACTTATCATTTATACCAAAATAATTACATCCTTATTTTATTAGTTATCTTATAAATGCAAACAGAAATAAAGCAAGAATAGCAATATTAATTTAAAAGGAATTAGAACTCAAGGCAAAAAAAATGTACACAGAAAAAAGTAAAAAATACAATTCACAGTAAAAACAAAACAACTGTGAACATTTTACCAACCAAAATATTGCACAAACATGCACAGTAAAAATATAAACAATAAAAGAAAAATCATTCTGAAACCATATGGAAAGGAAAGACTCCATTTAAAATAATCACAAAAAATGTGAAAGAGCTAGAAATAAATGTAGCAGGAAAAGTTCAGAATCCACATGAAACAAAACACTCTGTAAGGACACAAAAGTAGACTGAAACAAATGGAATGGCATACCACACTCTGGAACAAGATTAAACATCACAAAGATGTCAATTCTCCTTAGGTTTACCTATAAATTTGATGTTCTAATAAACTATCAAACAAGAAATAATCAAGTTTAAAGTTCGTATGGAAAATTAATAAGCAATAATGGCTAAAAAAGCTCTGGAAAAGAACAGTAACTGAGCATGGGCCAGTCTTCATCATCTGTACCCTGCTTTGCCTAAGAGATCAACCTCTACAGACTAGATTACATAGCTCCTGTTCTCTAGCTCTGACTGAATTTAATCAGTTGGAGGTGCTGGGTGAATAGAGGGTAAAGGATAAAGAGGTCAGGGTATTTATTTCCCTGTCTCCCTCTACGCTGAGTCACAGTTTTGATGGTGCCTGTGTTCCTCTGTCTCAGGCCACTACTCTTGTCAAGGAGCCTCTGTCCTGGGACTTTCTCACCAAGACCTAACAACAGCTCTTCTCCTTGCCCCTTCTGAGCAAAGGGCAGTAATGGTTTCCTGCTGTTGATATTCAGTGACTGGTATTATTCTGCATCTAATATCCTTTGGAAAGAGCTAACATCTTTATCATATTGAGTCTTCCAAACCATGAACTTTGTGTATACATGCACACCTTGTACCTTTTATTGCTCTCAGTAATGTTTTGGAGCTTTCTGTATAGAGGTACCATACATTTTTCATTGTATTTACTCTTCATATCTTTAGTAATACTGCAAATTAAATTATTTTTAAGTTCGATTCCTAATTTTTTGCTAGTATAAAAATGCAATTAAATTTTATATACCATGTGTCTACCAAGCATGCTAAACTCATTTATTAATTTAAATAATTTATCTATAAACTATTTTTTTCTATGTGAATTAATCATGTTTTAGGCAAAAAAAATTAGATCTTTTTCCTTCATTTCCAGTTCTTATATATGTTAACTTTCATTTCTTCCTTACTGTATATTTGTTATTTCTGACTATGTACTAGACACTATTTTGGAAAACTATAGATATAATTTAAGTCCATATTGTTTTATCATCCTCCAAATGAATTTACACTTGCCTCTACTAAATGCCCAGGAACACCAGAAATCCAGACGCATTAGGCATATTTCAGGATGCTGACAGAAGATTTTCCTAAGTTAAATTATAACTGTACTGTCTTGACCTTCATTTTCTCATTTTTGTCAGCTTCATAACTAATTCTAACAAAAATTATCTTCTGAATTGTAGAATCATTACCCATTCAGGTAAAAGTTTTGGTTATGCAACTTAATTGGTTAGCACTTTATATGCAACTTCTAGGTAAATATATTTAGAGGCTCTATATAGATTACAGACACGTACATTATTAATATATTCATAGAGTAAGCACTTTGTATCCACAGGTTCCACATCCACAGATTCAACCAACAGCTAATCAAAAATTACTTACAGGATACAATACTTGGGTGATAGGTACACCAAAACCCAGAGTTCATCACTATACAATGTATACACGTAATGGAATTCAACTTGTACATGTAATGGAATTCAACTAAATCTATCCAAAAAAAGGAAATAAATATATATATACAATAACAAATAATACAAGTTTAAAAGCCCCAAACAGTACAATTATTTACATAGCATTTACATTGTATTGATATTATAGGTAATCCGCAGATGATTTAAAGTCTATAGGAGGGCCAGGCACAGTGGCTCACACCTATAATCCTAGCACTTTGGGAGACTAGGGCATGGGATTGCTTGAAGTCAGGAGTTCAAAATCAGCCTAAGCAAGAGCAAGACCCCATCTCCATGAAAAATAGAAAAATTCACTAAGTGGTGGTATGCGCCTGTAGTCCCAGCTACTTGGGAGGCTGAGGCAGGAGGATCACTTGATCCCAGAAATTTGAGGTTGCACTGGGCTATCATGATGCCGCTGCACTCTAGCATGGATGACAGAGCAAGATCTTGTCTCAAAAAATAAATAAATAAAGTATATGGGAGGATGTGCATAGTTATGTGCAAATACTGCCATTTATTTGAGGGACTTCAGTATCCATGGATTTTTGTATCCACAGGGCATTTTGAAGCCAATTCCCTGAAGATACTGAGGGATGATTGTATATACTTATTTATTTATACTGTAACTCAAGGCAAAAATCAGCTGAGGTAGTTCACAAAAATATACCACAGTACACAGAACAATGGGTGACATGGATTAAATATTCAATAAAATATGAATGATTATGAACTTCAAAGGAACAAATCCACACAGAAACACAGCTAAGTCAACTTCATTTATCGACAAGGAAAAGTATGTTTAAATAAGAAAGTGTCTATACTACTTTTTCACAATTATCTTTGTGCATCTTAAGCACAACATACAGATTCAATAAAGTGACACTGGTACGTCATAACCACCCCCTCCCCAGAAAATAAAAATGATGAAGGAAATGAGACACATAGTACATCCAACAGGTAATCCTCATGCAGATAACTCAGGAGAAACACTGCAGCCATCCCAACTACTACCCTATAATGAGGGCTTTAAGTCAAAGTCCTCTGCTCCAAACTACCACCTCTGTGCTATTATCCTCCTCTTTTATGAGTCCTAATAATCAAACTCTTATAATTACACAACCCATTTTCTATTACTGTTGTGTAAGAAAAGAGGCATCTGTGAATATTATTGCCTTATTTACTGTAACTTATAGCTCTTGCAACATACTATTAGTATATAAACTTGGGCAAAATTTAGAGGAAAACACAATTATTATAATCCCATGCCCTTAACATTGCACCATATCCTAGGAGGGATCCCATGTTCCATCCCAGTAGCCTAGCACCATCATGCTCTAAAATGGAATAGTCTTTGTTGAAATATTTTGTGCAGTTCTCGATGTTATATTTTAAGAAGAATATAGACAAGATGGAATATAGTCAGAAAGGCAACCCAAAACACTGAAACATCTGTGAAGCATATACATGGAGAATTTGCATGAGAAATACAGGTTGTTAATCAATTAATGAAAAAATTTTGTCATTGATAACTATCTTCTACCATTGGAATACATTATAGAACAGAGATTAAATCATTTTTGAGATTCTCCAGAAAATAAAACTAAGATAAATGGGTAGTAATTGTAAAAAGGCAAATTTCAACTCAATATATGAAAAACAATGTTCAAATATTTAAATAATATAAAATGAAAATGGCAATCTTGAAAAGTATGAGAAACTTTTAAACTAAAATTCCCAAGCAACGACTATACTATTTATTTATAAGTTGCTATACTAACTTATTGGGAAGAAGATAAGAATAAATGATAATTTTTAAACTTCTTGCAAATCTAAGATTCTATCCCTATTTAGAATTACTTTTCTGACTTCATTAAATTATTGGCATAAAAAAATTACACCATGAGATGATATGCCATGCCAACCACTCTATCATCTATGAGGTTTATACTTTTCCTTACCCTTATGGCAAGAACGTTTTTAAAATGTTTTATAAGGAATTTGTTAAAGTTCTAATTCATTTTAATTTTATTAGTTTCAATAAGGATAGTCTCTCATCCTACCTAAATTTATAATGACATATTTAAATTAACAAAACCATATTTGACCCAATGAAATTATAAAAAGGACTTGATATACAGCACTAACTTGACACCCTTACCAATGCCCACTAACATGAAAGAAAAGCTCACAGCCAAGTTTTGCCAAAAGAACTCTACCCCTATATGTACTAGAATGGCAGTGATTTCCCACATCTCATATGCACTAAATTTTTCTAATTTAAATTAAAATAAATTACATAATCAAAGCTTATCATATACATCTAGAAGCATACCTTAAATTTCATGCTCTGGCGCCACCAAAATACATATATACATACATACATATATACATACATGCACGTGCATGTATTTATGTGTATATATATTAACCTGTGAACCAAGCAAAAATCCTGTCTTGATTTATTCTAACACCATTTTCTGAAAAAAGTAATTATGAAATAAATTAATAGTTTTAACATTTTACAAAACACTTAAAAACACATATGTATCACACTTAGTTTTTTAGGTAATCTCCCTTTATGAGTAGTATTATAAAATCAATTATGTTGATATAGAAAGAATATTTCACAAACTAAAATGCTATAGCACATAATAAAATTAAAAGTCAAAATTATGATTCTCAGTTACCATTGTTCATTACAACAATATGAATATCATATAACACATGGCTAGAAATTTTAGAAGAAAACAATGAATGAATGTATTGTCCTTATTAAAAACTGAAACAAGGGTATTCTTTGACCATGCATTTCCAATCCTGTGGACACCCTAATTCTTCCAGGTAAGTAGTCCTAGTTTAATATTTATAATTCCATATTTTTAATTCATAAATATATATATACCCATAGAAAACTTATTGTTGTCTTTTTGGAGTGTTAATGATAAACATAAATGCTATCATTATGAATGACTAATGACATTTGTATAATGTTAAATTAACAACAGAATATACTTGCCTGACTAGGGTAATATCCATATCCTTTTGAATAAGTTCAGTCTGCTTATTATTCAACTGTAATGATAGGGCATTATATTTACTCTGTGATACTTCAATTTCTTTCCTTGCTTCAATTAAATTGTCTTCAAAGGCCTAAAATTAGAGCACTTATATCACAATCAAACATAATAAATATGAAATGTAATAAAAATTGTTATAGTCACTATTTCACAAAATAACAGAGAAAACTCATACTGTTTTCATTTAATTTTCACTTAAAAAATTTGACACAAACAGTAACTTTTATATTATTGGTCACAGAATTTATTTTTCAGAAAGTAAAAATGTATCATGGCTTTGGTGTGTGAAAATTAAGAATTTGAAACAAACTTGAAAATATTTATATATATTTAGTTATTAAAATTTTTAAAAAATATTGGATGATAAAATTATTAGCAGAACAAAAATGAACTCAATTACTTAAATATTAATCAGAAAACATGGTAGATATTTACTTATTTCATTATTTCCTCTGTTTTAAATATGTACACACAGATACATTCAGAGAAGAAAGGACAATACTGCAAAGATATCAAAATAGTTTTCCAAAGTTTGAGACTCATATCATGCTCAGTTCTTGGGATTGTGGTGAAATTTCACCTAAAATTCTTCAAAATTGGCCTTTTCCTCCTGATCATTCTCTAAATCTTTTTATAGTTTGAAATGATGTTAAAGTTTGATGTTATATTTTTAAATAATACATTACAGAATTAAGTTATTTTTGTGAAGAATTAAGAAAATATTATATCTAAATAGAGCATGTACACATAAACACCATACATTCATTATTTCCAAAAGTGAATATGAAGTTTTAGGTAATGCACTAGAAATTCCCATTTATTTACCAAAAAAAGAATTGATAGATACATAGGTGGGCAGATAGATGGAGAAAGAAAATTAAGGAAGGAAGGAGGACGGAAGACATAAAAGGAGAAAGAGAGGGAGGGAGGGAGGAAGGATAAAAGTAAAAGATGACTTCTTTTAAAGCTTGAAACACTCAAAACCTGAAATAACTGTGCCAATGGACCTGAAACAGGAAATAGTAAGTGAAAGATAAGCAAATAACTTTCTATCTCTGTGCTCTACTATATTTACAGATGGCTACATGTTCAACTGAGAGATAGTTGGGACTCTCATGCATAGCATAAGAATCCAAACTCAGAAAATGAAACTGGGACTTGTAGAAGGGCTCTCATACTCTTAAAAAAAGACAAAAAACAGGCCAGGCGTGGTGGCTCACGCCTGTAATCCTAGCACTCTGGGAGGCCGAGGCGGGCAGATTGTTCAAGGTCAGGAGTTTGAAACCAGCTTGAGCAAGAGTGAGACCCCGTCTCTACTATAAATAGAAAGAAATTAATTGGCTAACTAATATATATGGAAAAAATTAGCCAGGCATAGTGGCACATGCCTGTGGTCCCAGCTACTTGGGAGGCTGAGGCAGGAGGATCATTTGAGCCCAGGAGTTTGAGGTTGCTGTGAGCTAGGCTGATGCCATGGCACTCACTCTAGCCTGGGCAACAAAGTGAGACTCTGTCTCAAAAGGAAAAAAAAAAAAAAAAAGAAAGTGAATGACAGAAAATAAACACTAACCTAGCAAATATTGGAACCATTTCAAAAGAATAAATTTAACACACTAAAATAGACAAATATTATGAAACAAAAATGGCACCTAAAGTGAAAAAAAATGACAGTTGGTATCAAGAGAAACAGAGGAATCAATAAAAAAATTACTGAAATAATTCAACCAAAGCTGTTGATAGCATGATAAGTTATAAAAGAGGTAGTGAAGAGACACATTTAAGATATATTCTGAAGGTAGAATGACAGGACCAGTTGATAAGTTGTCTGTGGGGTATCAGGACAAGGACAGGAATCAAAGATCTCTCCCAGGGATATGGCCTGAGTATATAGGTGAATGGGGATTCCATTTTCCATGATAGGGCAGATTAGCAAAGGGACAGGTTTGAGGACAAACATCCAGTTGTATACTTCATATGGCCATAATAAATATTTTTTAGTCATTAGAAAATACTAGAACAAGTTTTCCAATAAGCTTAAAAACTAGAAAAATTTTCATGAAAAAACTAAATTGCTAGAATAAAATAAAAAATAAATGGCAAAACTTCATTTGTACTACTAAAAAAATAAGGGCAGAAATCAAAGGAGGAAAATGCATCCCTGAGTAGTCTTAAAGCCACACGGAATTCCATCCTGGGTTTCCATTTTGCAAGGTCAGTGAACCCCAAATCTGGAGCCTGGCTTAAGGTGGGTCTATAAAAGTCATGCTCCCAAGACACAAAACAAAAGTACAATTCTCTGAACAACAGTTCATTGATAGCAATACAGAGCCAAAGTGAAATGTTTCATTTTTATCCACTGTATAGTATACAGTTTTGAGCCATTTGACTCTATTACCCATTCTCTATTTAAAAATTCAAAATAAGAAGAGAAAATAGAAAATTTCAAAAGGATAATTAAAAATTTAATAAATATCAATACATTTAATCAAGTATATAAAATCTACTCACAAAAACACTTTGCCTGGTCCTGAAGGTTTACAGGAAAGGTCTATAAAATTTCAATAAATGAATAACCCTACTCTTAAGGGAAATTTTATACAGAATTTTTAAAGGAAGTTCCCTACTTATTATATAAAATTTACATGATATTTTACCTAAGTCAGAAAAGGGCAGGAGAAAAAAGGAACACTTTAGAACAATATCACTTTGGAATATAGATACAAAAATTCAAAATAAGCTATACTAGTACCAAAGAAAGGATTATTTTTTATCTGTGGAGATTCTTTCATTCCAGAAATGCAAGGATGGCTTTATATTAGAAAATCTATTAATGTCATTTACCATATTAATTCTAAAAAAAGGAAAAAAATGTATGAACATACCAATAGATTCAAAAAAAGCATCCAAACAATCCAACACCTTTAAAGAATGATTTTTTAAAAAATGCCAACAAAATAGGAATACAGAGAAAATTCTTAAATTGGTCATAGGAATGCCAAAAAAAATCTATAAATATCATAATTAATGGTGCAATTTTTATTTAAAAATCATGAACAAACTTGTTTCATATTTCAAAATGTTTTACAGGTTTTAACTAACATATAATAAGAGAGAGGTAAAAAGATATTACATATATACATATATAGTTAATAAAAAGGTATACTTTTATTAGTTGTCAATATGATCTTCCACCAAAAAAATCCACTTAGAACTAGAGTTGAGCAACAATACTGAATAAAAGATGACAGCAAATTTAAATGCTTTTCTACATAATACATTTACAATACCAACAAGAAACACAAAATAACCAGAAATAATCTTACAACTAATGTACAATATAGTTATAAAATCTTATTGAAAAATATGAAATATGACCTAAGTAGAAGGAAAGATACATCAGGTTCATGAATGGATAGAATCATTATATATATCAGTTCTTTCTAAATTTATCTATGAATATAATGCAATTTTAACAAAAATTATAATGGTTTTTTATTGAACTTAGCTGCTGGTGCTTAAAATTCCTATTAGTGCTAAGTCAAAAATAAGACCTTTTTGAAAAGAAAAACAAAGAATAAAAGTTCTTCCTATTTAATAAATAAAATGTTTAATAAGCTCTAAAATTTAAAACATAGTCCTGGAACAGGAATAAGCAAATAGGTCATAAACACACAAAACATTAATCCAGAAGCAGACCAAATAATATACATTGAAATTTGATAAAGGATGAAAATCTCTCTAAATCTTTGGGGAAAGGCTGAACTGTTCAATAAATGCCAATGGTACTACTCTGATTAAATAGCAATCTACCCAACCAGGCCCAAAACATCTACCCTTCTTCCCAAACTTGGCTTCATTTCAGTTATTACTGTATAACATAGCTTATCTTTTTGACGGTAATGTGTTCATTTTATACCTCTTACCACTAGAATATAAATTCTATAAAAGCAGGATTTTTAAACTGATACTTCTGAGTTACTGTGCAGTGCCAGGCACAAACTGGATACCCAATAAACTTTTGTTAAATATGGAAAATTGTAAAATTCTCTTCTCTGAATTTACACTGACCACCCCCCCTCCCCAACCCTTGCTCCTAGTGACTAACCCATTTCGTCCAACTTCTTTGAGTTAACAATTCCACAAAATATAAGATAGACCAAACCACAAAGAAAACAACTCCTTACTGCAACGTGTGCTTAACCAAATCCCACTAACCTTGCAGCAGGTACTCTGCTACTTCTGTTTCTTTCCCCTATAAAGCCCCACTCATTCCCCAACTTTGATAAGACACTCCCACTAAAGTTCTCCCTTAATGACCTACTAAAATACCCATTTCTTTGATTTTGGAGATTTTTTAAAATTTGACATTTTGGTGCTTTGACTCAGTGTGTGGACAGAATTAAAGACATCTCATCATTACAACCAGGTAGAGTGAGCACTTGAAGACCTTTGTTTCTATCCCACTTGTGGAGATCAAAGCTCTGAGATATGTAAACCTTGCTCCAGGTCCTGTGCTCTGAAATTTTTCTTAACCATAAAAGGGCAATTAGATTCTTTGTTTAGGATCCAGTCTTCTATCTCAGTAAATCTTTGACTTTTATTTTGCCTTTGGGAGCCTTCTATCTGAGAGGATAGTTAAGTGATTTTATCTGGTAAAACAATTTCTCTTTCATACTCAAAATCCACCTTTACACCAAATAGTACTTTTTCACTGAATATAATTTAGAAATAAAATGGCCCCTTTGCTTTCCTGGGACATGTTTAAACTATTCAGTATGCAATACCTTGGAACATAATCCTCTAAAGATTTATGGAGGCTTTTAAAAGAGATAGCAGTACCCAATATCCAGTGATTTCCGTAAATTAACAGCAATTATAGACAAAAACAAACTTTTTTAGTGGATACAGGTGCTACTCTGTTGACTATAAATGCTATCATTTATATCATTCCTTTATCATTTTGAGTAAAAAAATGCAGGAGTAGTAGGAATGTCTACACTTCTAAAAAATGCCTCACCCCCTAAACATTTAAGTGTAACATTGGGCCTTTCACAAGACAGCATATATTTGTTC